TTGCATCAATTTTACCCTACCTTAAATTGTTGTCTATAATCAAACATAAATTAGGGGATCTAATTGATATTTTAAAAATAGTTTGGAGGTAAAATGAAATTTCAAATGAAATTTTGGTGTCATGTCAGCAATTTTCGTTTGATTATAAATTGTAGCTAATAGTGGTAGTAAAATTGATATTATTAAAAGAACATGAGTTAAATTGATTTTTGATTGATAATTTAAAAAATAAAATGATATTTTCTCTAATAACACTTCTATGACAATTTTGGTGATAACCAAATTAGGTGGTTCTTGGGAGACGATATTTTACTCCCTTATGAACAAACTATATTAGACATATGGAAATAAAATATACAGTTGTGGGACTGTGGACTGTAGTCTCGCCTTTTCTATGCACTAGAGGTGAGCATAAATTATGTGTAATTTGTAATTCGATCTAATAATTATGAAAATTATTTGAGACATTGGGAGAAAATTGAAATAATTTATAACAGTTCATAAGTTTTGGGATATTTTTGGAAAAGAATTTTCGTGACATCTATACTAACTCCAACCTTCGTTCTATAGATTGACGTAGGTGTTCCCCAACATTTTTTTATTCGGGATTGGTTCAGACTCTAGTTAATTCTTTTGTAATTTTATTTTTTTTAATGTAAAAATTTCAAATGCAATTTATATATTTAGCCAAGGGTATATGTAAAAGTAGTCATTAAGCTGCGATTGTAACAGGTCATATATTGTACAAATATAAACAAAAATATTATTACTCAATTTCACTTTTTTTGAGTCAAATTCCTAACCTCTTGTATATAGAGATGAAAATATGTCACTGGACTAGAAATCCATTGTTAGGGCAATTCCAATTATACCCTTCATTTTTACTAGCTCAAATATAAAAGAAAATATATTTTTTTATTTTTCCTAATTCCTTTTTCATTTATGTACTCCAACGCTACTCTTTGTTTTACCTATCTATTCCACAAACTATTCAAAAAGCCTCCTAAGACTCTTTAAATACAGCTAGCCTTTAACTTTTTTATTAAAATAACTATTGTAATATATTAGCTATAATAGCTAACATATCTCGTTTAAAGAGTCCCTTGGAGATATTCCTAGAAATCCATTGTTAAACTTTGTTTGTTTTGTGGGAACTTATGACTTGGGGAAGGTAGATTTATGGAGTCTAGATCCTCTGCAATGCAATGAGTGTATGCATTTTGTAGTCGTTTTGGTGCACCCAAAAATAATAATAATAAAAAAATAAAAAATAAAAAAAGGAGGGAAGAAAGAAGCAAAAGAACATAGAAGATATCAATGTAAAGCTTCTGGCCAGACAGCTTCAAATCTTCTTCAACGAAAACCTAACCCTAATTGTGCTGCACACAGAGATAAAACCACACAGAATTCAGGCAAAGACATGCAAATCCCTGTTTGTTTTTAGGGTTAGGTTGGATAGGATTGTTAATATGGGGGTTGTTAGTGATGGGACTAAGAAAAATTGTGTTTGTTTGATGACCACCGAATTAGTAAGAATTCATCTTTGTTTTGTCATTCTATCATTGGATTAACTATATGAAATTCCATAAATACTCTTGTTTTGACAATCTCTGTGTGTGTTTTTTTTTAATTGTCAATTTACTTGGATTGTCTCGCTAGAAGTAAGTATAAAGTTTGAGTATAGTTTATTGAGAACCATTGTTTAATATATTTGAGTACTCCATTCAGTTGATGGTTCAAAGTAGAAATCAAAGTTGCTGAGTGCTATATTTGTTGAGTAGAATTTTTTTTTTTTTTAATTTTAATTTTTATATATCACTATGGTTAGAAATTGGAAAATAATGAAGCTATAGCTGGAGGTGAATCAAACTAAGACAATGCAATCAAAACCAATTTGGTCATTGTCAGTATTGCTCGATAAAATTCAATTAATTTTTCTGACTTCAAAGGCAACAAAATTAAAAGAGTAACTACTTGTGATGAGACAGTGATGAATTTGATGCAAAATAAAATCCTTCATTTCAAGAGTAGTTTTGGGACCACATGAATTTTCCATCTGTTTCATGCAAGAAAGTTATCACAGAAATTTTGCTCTTGCCATCATATTATTTGTAGAATTGAGCAAGGATAGGACTAGGAATGGCAACGGAGCGGGGTGGGGCGGGGTCGGGGACCACACTCCCCGTCCCCGATCCCCGATAGTGAGAAATTCCCAGTCCCCGGCCCCGATCCCCGACGGGGACCCCATCAACCCCCCGCCCCCGCCCCCGATCGGGGATCAGGTTTCCCCGACCCCGAAAATCCCCGACCTGTTCATTTTTATTTTTTTTTTAACACAAAAACAATAAAAATAATTTCAATCTGTTGTATTCAGTAATCTATCATCATCATCATCATTAAAAATTTCAATCTATGGTATAGATCAACTGATATTGATCTATCATCAAATAGATTAAAACCATAGATCATCAAATAAATCAAAACAGATCTCTTCAAAACAGATCATTTTCAATCTATTGTATAAACCATAGATCATCTCTATTGAGAGAAGAAAAAAACCATCAATATCATCAAATAGATCAACAACAACATAGATCATTAACACAGATCTCTTTAACAGATCAACAACAAATCATTAACCATTTCAACATTAACAGATCAACTACACACAAAACAAAAATAAAATGATAACATAAGACACAGATCAGAGGGGAGGAGGGAGAGAGAGAGAGAGAGAGAGAGAGAGAGAGAGAAACTAGATCTGGTAAATCTGCACCATGCTCAATCGATCTGTAATCCCTGGAATTAATTTACAACGGCGAAGATCTAGCGAGGGACGACGGCGGATCTCAGTCTCAGATCGGAGGATCGAGTCGACGTTGGACAACGACGTCGGAAGAGATAGTAGAGGGAAGAGAGAGAGAGAGAGAGAGAAGTGGGTTTGTAAGGGAGAAGAGAGAGAGTCGTAGGGAGGGTGGAGATCGGCGTTGGGAGATGGAGATCGGCCAACGGTTTTAAAGAGAGGGAGAGAGAGAGACAGATGAGAGGCAGATGAGTATGAGTGAGTGTGAGGCTGCACGCTTACTCACTGAGGTTTTGTGTGAGTGAAGTAAAAAAGTTGATTTATATATATATATATATAGAGGGTAAAATGGTAATTTTGCTTCGGGGAAAATTCGGGGCCGGGGATGGGGACGGGGACGGGCCGGGGCTTGAACACTGATCACTGTCCCCGGCCCGAAACTGATCGGGGTTTTAATTTTGAATACCATCCCCGTCCCCACGGGGGTATTTTTCGAGAAAAAACCATTCTCATCGGGGTCGGGGGATCGGGTTCCCGTCGGGCCGGGTTCAAATTGCCATCCCTAGATAGGACGGTTATCAAGTTTGGTTCTTTTGTCAAAATCCACATGGTGTACTAATTTTTAATTTTTTTTTTCTTGACTTCATTGTAGTTGTACTTGCATGTGGACATTATGGATTTCAAGGAATTGTTAGAAGGGTGGAGCTTATCGCAAAAATCAAGTTCACAACAGCGTTTTGGGTGAAGGCGAAGACTGGAGGGTGCCTTTTTTCTGTGGAAGGCTTCATGTATAGAATTGAATGGGTGAATCGATTGAAATTGAAGAATTTGAAGAGGAAAGGATAGCTGTTTTTACTCTGTTATGTGGCTCTGTTTTTGGGTTGTAGTATTGGACCCCTTTGTTTTCTTTTTGTTTGTTCGGGTTGGCTCGTGGCCAACATACTTGCAGGGTTAGATTTTGTAAGTTTAAAGTCGGTTTACATCCTTCTTAACTGTTTATCTGATCCTCTGTATCCTTTCACTTTTCATCAATAAATCTTTTCTTTATTGAGAAAAAAAAATCACCACTACTTTTGTTAGCGACACTTAGAAATTAAGTACCTTTCTCTTAATTCTTTGAGCTATACGCTCCACTTTACCCCAGTGGTATAGATTATATACACGTAAATCTCTGTCAGTTACAAATATAAACATGTGTAATGCACTAGTGCTACTTTGGACGAAAAATGTAGTGCATTTTAATTCATAAATTACAAAGAATTGAGTAATTATTTTCAAATGATGGAAAGATTATGTACTCATAGCTTATATCACAAAAAGGTAAAGTGAAGAAAAATCACATCAATTTTGTTTTATATTTTAAGAAAAAGCAAAAGAGCAACACTAAAAATTATTGCCAAGCCCACCTTAGTCTCTCCATAGAACAATTATTTCTTTATATTCTAAACCCACCATTGTAATTGTTATTTTAATTATGACTGAAAGTATTTTTAATTATGCCTTAATTGATATTTGATTATAATCGTTGTGGTTTCTTTCATAATGAATGAAAGTGATTTAATGATGAGATTTTGTGTTATCAACACAACATAAATTAAAGTAGCTAGAGCTAATCAGTAGCCTAAATTTCGAGAAAATATCATTTCACCTCCCAAATTTTTACATGTTTTTTAATTTGATCTCCAGGCTTCGATTAATATCAATTTTACACCTAAATTTTTAAAATTTTGATCAATTTAGCCCTTGTCATCACATTCTGTCTACAATTGGAAGAAATGTGTTGACGTGAGGAGTAAATTGATTTTTAAGGTATAGTTTGGGAGGCAAATTGATTTTTAATTTGGGAGATAAAATGAAATTTCTAATGAACTTTGATGCCACGTCAACACATTTTGTCCAATTATAGATGGAATGTGACGGCAAGGACCAAATTGATCAAAATTTCAAAAGTTTGGGTGTAAAATTGATATTAATCGAAATTTAGGGGTCAAATTGAAAAACGAGTGAGAGTTTGGGGGACAAGATGATATTTCCTCCAAAATTTCTTGAGATTTAGACAAATAAATGCCAACAATGCTAAAAATCGTTGTTTCACAGTGATATATACCTGCTGTTTGGAAGGAAGAGTTAGTTCATAGATCAATAGATGAAAAGCATAGATGAGAGGGGAAAAAAATGTTGACATAAACAATCAATAATAAACACTAAATTTTTATACAAATCAAACAACAATCATAAACAATTATCCAATGTTTTAACTTACATAACAATCATAAAAAAAAGTGTTTCAAAAACCGTAAACAATTATCCATTGTTTTAACTCATAAAAACAAACCAAAACTTACAATACTCGCATAACATAGAAACTAAAATAAATATTGCTTCAAATTTTAATACAAGCCAACAATCATAAACAATTATCCATTATTTTGACTTCAATACTCCCAGGAAGCTCCAGCATAGCATCTTCAACATTCTAACATACAACACAAACCAAAACACAACGTTTCAAATTAAAAAAGAAGCTAACAATTATAAACAATCATTCATATTATTCAAATACAAGTATACAAAAGCAGAAATTAAAGAATGAGAATGATTTGTTATAATTTTTTTCTTATATGGCAAGATCAGGTGTATCAATGTCTACGTTGGTATTTATTTTTCAATAGTAATACGACGACAACTCAACATAAATGATTTATGTAATATATATTTATAACTAAGTTTGGGTCTTGGGTTGGTTTAATTTAGTCAAGTCCTAAATCAAAAGTTGAATCAATCCTATTGGTCCATGCAAAACTAAACCAAAGTAATAAAAAAAAAAAAAACGAAGCAACCCAACCACATAGAAGTCGGGTTGGTTTGATTCTCAAGTTTTTTGAGACTTTGTGCAGCACTAGTTTTCTCTATGTGGGTGATGTACTGGGAAAATTTTTTAGGTGGCCTCATATTACATATTATTTATGTGGTACTAGTGGGTCATCCCTTATCACGACTTAATAAAGATAGGTTAGTATTATCCCACCCATAAAGTTTTTTGTTATATCATTGTTTTAGAGCATCACATGAACAATGTCATTTGATACTTTGAGATAACTGAATAATTATCTAATACATAATTGCCCTTGAATAACTCTGCTAGGATTGATTATCAACTCTGCCGATCCCAGGCCAGGGCAAAGGAGGAGGGTTGTGTATTTGGTAACCGACAGCCAACATGTAAAAAAATCAACTCTGATCCCTTATGGACATGAATCCTACTTTAAATGAATGAAAAAGAAGGATCCATGTAGCCAACCCCATTTGATGGGACTTAAAGCTTAGTATGGATTGCTTTGATCTGATATAATTGCTCTTGAATGTATATATATATATATATATATTTCCCTTTCCCTTTCCAAATCTCTTTTTAAATCTCCCAACCAAACACAGCATAAATGTAATTCATAATTTTCTAATATTGATGTATTTGAAGTAGAACCAATTTCACACCCTCCAATCAACAAAATGCTAATTGCAAAAATTATTCAATGAAAAGTTTAGCTAATAAATGAAATTTAAAAACTTCACAGATGGTTCTATTGAAAGAGTTTGATTTCATAGGTGGAGAAGCAATTTTACAAAATAAAAAGAAAGAGATATTATTTTAGAAACAAAGTTAGATTTGATAGTACTTACATTAAGCACAGGAAGAGCCAGAAACGGAGAAATAAAACCTCATAAGGAACCCTTAAATACACTGTCATGCATAGCCATCCTTCATCAGAAAAAATTGTTGAAAATCAATAAGCAAAGAGACATTAAAAATTAGCAATGTTGAAAATCTTTACTATCAATTAGACTATTTTGTTGAGTTTTTTAAAATCTGTAAAAGTAAAAAAATAAAAAACAATTATTGTTTTTCATATGGTTTTCTATTTATTTATTTTTTAAAATATTTTTTTAAAATCTGAAAATATTTTTTAAATGTTTATTTTATTTTTTTTATGTTATGTGATAGTTATTGTGAAATTTTTTGTCTAATTTTGAATAGAAGTTAGATTTAGGAGTAAAGTGGCAAAAACTTGAAACATGAAGTGTCAAACTTAAAAAATAAATAAATAAATTAAAAGTCAAAGTGAGAAAATGGCCAAACATAAAGGGGGCAAATTATAATTTATCCTAAATATTATTATCTCCAACAACAAAATAAAAACATGTTTGGTTGAGTTTTTAATTTTTTGTCCTTTTCAAAAATCAAAAACTAATTTGACTAATTTTGAACATAAATTAATTTTAAGAGTAAAATAGGAAGAACTTGAAATATGAATATCCAAAATGAGAAAAAAAAAAACAAACTTAAAGGACAAATTTTTAACAGAAATTAATTTTAAGGATAAAGTGAGAAAAACTTGAAATATGAAGATTCAAAATGAGAAAAAAACAAATTAAAGGATAAAAGTGAGAAAGTGACCAAATAAAAAAAAGGAATATTTATGTTTTTTTTTTTTTTGAACGAAATATTTATATTGTGATATGGGGTACCTGGCAATTTGACTGCTTGTATCGCAGTGGGAATCCCCACAGGGTGTAGAACTCATCATCATTATCAACATCAACGCACGTAGACTTGAGGAATGTGAGCTAAGTGGGGCCAATATTTGCCTTTCCACTTTTCACACTTCCCTGTCAGTCTCGGACATCCCCAGATTGACAATTTCTCAAGTAAGGGAGGCAGCCTTTTCACTGGTAAAGATTTGAGCCTAGGGCAACCCCTGATTTCAAGATATTCAAGAGAGGCGAGGTTTTGAAACAACTTAGAAGATAGCTTCTCCAGATTTGGGAATTCCTCGATGGTAAGCTTGAGCAGAGAGGTGGGAAGCAACATCCCATCTATGGGAAAGCTGGACCCCGCTACATCTTCTTCTTCTTCTTCTTCATCCTCTGCCACACTAATTGGGCCTTCAATCACTAGTGATGTAAGAGAGGATAAACTGTGCAAACCAATCTTCTTGAAGTTGTTGTTCCAATGTGAAATATTCATCCACAACTCTTCAAGAGAAGTGAGGTAGTTGATGGTCTGCAATCCGTGTGGCAAAACTGGTAGGGCCTTTAGTTTTTTGCATCCCCTGATTTCCAATTTTCTCAGATTTGTTGCAGAGTGGAACCATCCTTCCGGAATGGACTCCAAATTCTCACACCCAAATACATCCAATACAACGAGATTATTATTATTATTATTATTAGGAAGGGCATCTGGCAAGTATTTGAGACTATCACAATCACTGATCGAAACACACTCAAGAGATGGACAGTTACTTTCCATCCCCTCCTCTACTAGCAGTGCCTCCAACTTTTCACACTTCAAAATCCGAAGCTCTTTGAGTGTGGGTGGTAGCCTCCCACCTCTGCACGATATCAAGCACCTAAGGGACGGACAATTATGAACCTCTAATACTTCAAGGCCATGTTTGATTCACAACACTAATAGTGAGGTATTAATAATCCTATTAAATTAGTGTGGTATTAGTTATCCCACCCCTACCCCATTATTAATAATCATACAAATTTGTTGGATTAATTATCCATTAGATTAATAATCCTAAACTAAAATGTCAAAACAAACATAGGATGATTGGGCCCACGGATTAATAATCCCAATCCTATGCTTTAATCCTTCCAATCAAACATGCCACAAGATTGTTGTCATTAATCTGCATTATCCACCCGAATAAGGATTGCAGAGCCTCACAATCATATATTTCGAGTGTTTTCAGCGTGCATGGAAAACTTGTCTCCAGAAAAGAGCTGAGACTTGGACAATTACTGACATGCAACTCTCGAAGAAAATTGAACTTATGTAGCATCCGTGGCAGTTTCTCCAGCTTTTCACAATTATATATTCTTAGATGCTCAAGCCTCACTATGCAAGGGAGTCCCTCTTGTTGCTGCTGCTGCTGATGTTGGCCTTCCTTTTCTTCATCCTCATCTTCTTCAAACAATGAAACAAGCTGGGGGCAGCCTTGAATTTCCAAACTTCGAAATGCAGGGAGACTGTGCTGCACTCTCACCTCATTCCTCCACAGTGTCTTGAGTTCTTCACAGCCGGTAATCTTCAATGCTTCGAGTTCCATCAGCCCATGAGTAACCCATTTCGGCAAGAACTCGAGTTCCTCAATCATCCCAATGCTCAAGGAAGTTATTGAACTCAGATGCTTAGACTTTGCATTTGCTGATATCATTTCATCATCAACCATGCTCCTCATCTCAAGGACCGCTTGAAGGCTTGTTAGAGGAACGTCATTCATAGCCACGGAGGTGAGTGATGGGAGGATAGGGCTGGAAACTTCAACTAGGAATTGTGGGCATCCCGTAATATCTAGATTATTCAAACAAGGTAGATCACTGGGCAACATTTTGAGAAGTTTAGGACAATTTTTTATGGAGAGCTCACTAACATGTGTAAATGGTTGAACTTCCTTATCATCTTCAAAACTATACCAATACTCCCATTCTGGCATATCCTTAAAGCTTAAAGTCTCCAGTACTGGAAAAGGTTTGGCACCACCCTGCCCATAAAACTCACGACCGACATCTTTTAGTGCACTCATTCCTTCAATATAAAGCTTTTTAAGGGAGCGTAGTTGTCCGAGTGGTGGCAAGAATGCACAATTTCCACAATTGTCTAAACTTAGGTTAGCCATAGTGGAGAACAGAGGATCTCCTATCCAGGTTGGAAATCCTGTACCAAGGTAGCCTTTGATATGGAGCTCTTTTAAATTCTTGTGAGGTTGTAGCATGTCGAGCACTTCTGTTTCAACTCCTACATCTCGTGAATCATCTGAGTTCACACTCCATTCCATTGATAACACATCTAACCCCTTCTTATCATTTAAATTCGCTTCCCTTGCATGTAATGCAACCACCACATTCTGTAACCCAAATAGGCAAAGCTTCCCCCGCAGATAAATTAAATTCCCCAACTCTCTTAATCGATGCCCATTGTTTTTAGTAACAATAAAATTGGACAATGTCTGAAGATTAGCCAACTTACCGATTCCAAGTGGCATTTCTTCTAAGGAATGTGCATTTGTAGTATCGAGATGCCGTAGGTCAATTAGGTTTCCCAAGTCTGCTGGCAACTTTTTCAGTTTTGTGCATTCTCTTAACATCAATGTTTGTAGATTGTAAAGAGAGCCTAGTGATTCAGGTAATTCTTCAATGTAGGTGTAGGATAGGTTAAGATACCGTAGATGTTTCAAATGTCCAACTGAATTTGGAACTTCTGTGATGTCATATCTACTCATATCAAGCACCCTCAAGCGTTTTAGCTTCGGCAATAGATTAAGAGGAACATTACTTTCCAAATAACAATTCAGGCCATATGGTGAGTTAAATGGTAAGAAGGTCCGTAAATGCATGGCTTTGTCAAAGATCTCAAATTTTTTCGTACCCTCCCATCTCTCCCGCATGTAAGATGAATGTCGAGCTTTCTTTATGTTTTTGCACTGCTCCTGACATTCCAATCTAACCTCCAATCTAAAACAAGTATCTCTTGCAACTACTTGAGCCAAATCATTGATGAGGTCATGCATCACAAATTTAGAGCTTTTACCGGTACTTGATAGTTGGAAAAAAGACCTTGACAACAATTCCCGAAAGTACTCACCTCCTACATCTTCCATTTGCTTCTCTCTTTGTTGAACAAAGCCCTCCGCCATCCACAACAAGACTAGCTCCTCTTCCTCAAATTCATAGTAGCTGGGTATTATTGAGCAATATGCAAAGCACTGCTTCAAATGCAAAGGGAGATGATTGTAGCTCAATCTCAAAGCAGGTAGGATATCACTTTCTTGATGTGGTAAATCCCATATTTCACTATGCAATACATTAACCCATTCCTCATCTTGTTCTTTGCAACGTAAAAGGCCACCAAGTGTCTTAGCAGCCAGAGGCAAACCTCCACATTTCTCCACAACTTTCTTACCAATTGATACCAAATTTGGATTTGCATCAATACTTGGATTCACAAAGGCATGTTGTTCAAACAGCGACCAACAATCTTCATCTGATAGGACCTCAATGTCATGAAGTTCAACAGCTCCCATCATTCTTGCAACATCTCTGTTACGTGTTGTCACCACGACTTTACTCCCTTGGGCTCCATCACTGAAAGGTTTCTTCAAAACATTCCAGTCACTGTATTTATTGTTCCAGACATCGTCTAAAACAATTAAAAACTTCTTTCCAGCCAAAGCCTGCTTTAGTTGAACTTGAGCATGATCCAAGTTATTAAAACTACATGTTTGGGAAGTCACTGAATCATAAATAGCTTTTGTTATTCTCAGAATGTCAAACTCATTTGACACACAAGCCCATGCTTTCAAATCGAAATGCTCCTTCACGGTTTCATGGTTGTATACCATCTGAGCAAGGGTGGTCTTGCCAATCCCACCCATACCCACAATGGGAATTACACCAACATTGCTACGACTTGATTCATCCCCCCTTACGAGCAGCTCAATTATCTTACTCTGATCATGTTCTCGGCCATAAACGCGAGGTTCATCAATTAAAGATGTAGACTCTGGTCTTTGCCAAGTCTTAGTCGTAGGTGTAGGGGTGGTTCCAATAATCTTAACCAAATTAAGTTTCGAACATTGTTCAAAAATATTGCTTAATTTGGTATTGATCTCCTTAATCTTGGACCTCATTTCGAAATTAAACATGACAGAAGTTGGCTTGAAATTGGTACAACAAGTGGGGATGGAGTTCCATACCTTACTGGAACTAGCCTGGGGCTGCTCTGACATCAGCTTCCGCCGCAAAGCTTCAGTGGAGAATTCGTCCACTAAATCATCCAAATCATATGCCAAATCCTGGAGATCGTCCAGCCACTGGTTCACGGCTCGATCGGTCAGTTGCTTATCCTCTGCGTCAGTGAGAAGTGCTTGAATTTGGGAGAGAGTGCTGATCCAATTGCTCAGCTGGGTAAGAATGCCCTCGTGGCGGAGAAATTTCAACCACTCACCAGAGGCCATCTTCTCCAGGAGCACAGTGATGAACGCACCGAGAAAGACTTCTACGATAGCCATTGATTCCGATTGTAGAAGGGAAGGCAAGGGAAACCCCAAATCAGAAGCAAAGCAAGAAGAGATTTCAGATTTTTCAGTAAAAGCTTTTAGAATTTGTGAAACAAAAACAAAACAAGACCGAATAAGAAAGTGGTGAGAAAAAGCAGAAAGTGGAGGGAGTGTGTTTGGTTTCAGAGTTCGGAGAGAGATTCAGAAAAGGAAATGAAGTAGGTGAGAGAAGGAAATAATGAAATTAGTTGAGATGAGAGTATATATTTTTTTATTTTTTTGTTTTTTTGTCTTTTTGTTTTTTTTAAAATCCTTAAATGAAACAAAAAATGTTAAAGCATTTCAAGAAAAAAATGCTAGCAGGTAGTAGAGTTAGAATTAAAAAATAAAAAATAAAAAATAAAAAATAAAATATAAAATATAAATTTAAAAATGAAGTGTTTAAGAAATGGATTGTCCAACAATATGTATTTTTTGTTTTTTTTTTCATCTTTCCAAATAAATTACTTTTTTGTTTTTTTTTAATTTTTCATAAAATTAATTTTGAAAATCAGACCAAACAAAAGGGCATAATATAGACTAATTTAATCATAACATTTCATAATAAATATCACAACATATCATGTCAAAACTTTTCTAATTAAAATCATTTGTAACTTTCAATTTAAGATTATACATATTCATCATTCTCTATCTTTATTACAAATATTTATAATTTTCACTACAAAAATTTGTAACATTCTTCAAATATTTATCATCCTTCAAAATAATTCATAAAAAAAAAAAATAGTCAATTTTTCATTTGTTTAGGGAAAACATATGGTTACCACAAATTGACATAGTTTTATCATAAAATTTCGTAATGTTAAGCACAAAATATTTGATCTCGTCACAAATTGATGCAACAAAAAATGTCGTAATCAAATCACAAACTTTCGTAATATCAATCACAAAATTTTAAACATTTTATTACGCTGATTTTAAACATTTTAATCTTGTCATGTTATGAAATTTTGTGATGAGGTGCCTATGATAGCCTTTTCCTATTTTTATAACAGAAAATATAAATTTTTTTTTTAAAAAAAGTAAGGGGATAATTATGAAATTTTGCACTCAAATCACATGATACGAGTAGTCTACTGGTTTTACATAAAAAAGTATATATATATATATATAATATATGCTTTTTTTATTTATAAATTTATATCAACTGAGAGCATTTTGCGGTATATTTCATCAATTTCAAAATTTTAATTTTCGACCAATCTTTCCAACAAATTTCACTGTTTTCCAATGTAGCTTGAACAGGTTGATACCTCAAGATTGTTGGAATGGACAACAATTTCCAAGGATCAACCAGCCAGCTTGACCAGAAATTATTTACCCAACTTCAACACTCGTATTGAGTTCAGATGTATTTATTTTCAATTATTATTATCTTTTTTTTTCGAAGTTAAGAATTTTTTAATGCAAAATAGAGAAATGACTGAGAAATTGTAAAATAGTAATGGGCACATATAAAGTAGGCATCATTGGTATGACTTCCATGACTTGCTTAATGCTTTTTTTTTCACTACTTTATTCTCTCCGTGTGATACCCACCATTATTATTCACTTTCACTTTATGCTCACGCTCTATTTGATGTTATATTCGTGACCATCAAAAAGCATAGCGTAAAAAAAAATAATACAAAAAAAATAAATAAATAAAACAAAGAAGATGAATGCAAAGTATGAAAACATCAATTAGAGTGTGGAAATAAAGGTGGAAATGAATAATAATGGTCGGTCTCACACAGCAAGAATAAAGTAGTCACAAAAGCATTTACCAAAAAATAAAAAAGTAAAGAATAAAAATATTAAGCAAATCTCTTTTCTTGAAATCATAGCAATGGTTGTCTGTTCTAGATGTTGAAACACGATCCATTTGGTTGATGGGATGAGTCGTTGAAGATTTTTTTTTCTTTTCCCAAGTACAAGTAGGGATATGAATGGTGGAAGGGGCTGGTGAGAGATGGAAGCGGATGGCTAAGTTAGGTGATTGGGAAAGGGGTGTACGCCAACCGTTTAAAGAAGTTCCAATAATGGTTGTGAAGGCATAAGAGGGTCAAGTGGAGGACAAGGGTAGGAAGTGGGAGAGACGAGGGAAAAATAAGAGTGTTGCTATTAGTATTTACTTAATTTTTTTGGATCTCATAATTTTTACTTTTTTTATTACAATTATATCCTGAAATAAAATTACATTAAACGACAACTTTTAATGGAACACTCACCCACCAATGAAGACAGTTAAAATGACACTCTACAATATTGTACACCTACCTCTAGCACCATCTAAATGTATTCCTTACCAACCTAAACCCTAAACGTATTTCACTTCATCACTATCCTAAACCCTAAATGTATTCATTTTCAGCACCATCATAATCCGGTCTAAATCGGTAATGCTTCAAACAATCCTATTACAGACTTCGAGTTTTTCCAATCAAATTTTCATTTACATATGTGGTCATTTTCAACATTTGTTGATACTTATAAAGCAATGGAGAATGATGACAGCAATTCTAATGAAGTTGGCATTGCATTAGTAAGTTTATCTATCTTGCATTAGCGATTCTTGATCGTTTTCGAGGGTTATTGTTTTGTTTGAGCTTGTTCGGTACTGAATTGTCAACTATTAAGGTTTTGTTCAGTAACACAGTGCTAAACAGAAACATTTAGTTTGATATATGCGTTCCAAACAAAACCTTTATTTTTGGCACTATTCAACCTAACATAATTTTTGACGAGACAAAAAGATTTCCATCAGTCACTGATCTCGACTGAGAGATTTCTGACAAGTCGAAGAGAAGACAATGAGGGTAGTTCAGAAGCAGCAAGCGCAGCAGTAGCTCCGTCGTTTGCGATAGTGGCGGGGGAATGAGGATATTTATAGAGCAATGGAGGACGATGACAACAACTTTGATGAAGTTGGCATTGCATTAGTAAGTTTATCTATCTTGCATTAATGATTCTTGGTCGTTTTCAATGATTGTTGTTTAGTTTGAGCTTGTTCGGTACTGATTTCCCAATTATTAAGGTTTTGTTCAGTAACTGTCACAACCCCATCCCTTCTAGTAGTGTTTGACTATCAAAGGCCTAGCAAGACAAAACAAGATTAGACTAAAACATTGGGCTTATGCGAAAAAATCGACATTGTCCATTAATCATCAAGAGTCCATCCAGAGCCTATGCATAGATCATATGATACATACAAGCAACTTTATTTATTTATTTTTGACTTCCACAAGTTCAACACCCAAAAAGGAAAGTTAACATTTACAAATATACAGCTAACCAAAACTAAAACTCAAACACAAGATCTTTGTCCAAAAATTCTTGCTTCCAAAAGTAGAAAAACAAAAGAAAAGACTTCTAGCTTGATCTCTCATCCATAACAGGATCCTCTCCATCACCTACATACATATAGGGGAGAGAGATAAGCTAAAGCCTAGTGAATAGCAATATAGTAAAGTGGTAAATGAATGAACACTGATGAACTTTATTTAAAACCAAGCACAGTCTCATTTTGAACATAATATAATTTGCATGCAAGCATAAGCATATACATAGTGATGAACATTCTCAAGGCATTTCAAAACGGAACACGGTCTACAATAGGTGGTTGAAGAGCTCAACTAGCAGAAGGTTATTGGCTTGATTTCTATTAACCAACAGAATCCAAGAAGTCATCTTAGTACATGATATAAAAATATAAGATGTTCATTCATAACATAAATAATATTTTTGTTGTCATAAACATGCCATATGTTTGCATTTCGAATCATAATTTTAAGAACGTAACTTTACTACACTGCTACTCACAGTTGGCTCCTTTCTCAAAGGCTTAAACTTCCTCAAGACTCGGCCTATAAAACAAGAACAAAGCACATTGAACTTCTTATACATATACATAGCAAATCGGTTGTCTAACTTAGCTGGTTCTTACTTTAATTTTCTTTCATATTCTAACTTATTTTAGGTTGGTTTCTAAGTGTATCTAACTTTTAAATAGGTTCAAAACACGTGTAAGGAGACCCGAGCATCGAAGAAAACAAAAAGAAAATGAAACGGGCATTTTCCCTGAAATTCGCACGTACGAAACCCTAGTTGCACGTGCCGGACATGTGTACAATTATTTCAGAATCAAATTTGGGTCAAAGGTGGCTGGCCGCACGTGCAAAGGCCATTTCCGCATGTACGGAAGGTGTGCCGAACATGCGGTGCTTCTGGCCGCACGCGTGAGAGAGGAACCCAGTTCGTGGTTGAAGCTGTTCCAGGCAGTTTTAGGGTTGCCAAATCCATTTTTCATGTTCTCAAGGCTCAAATCTTGTTTTATAACATCCTAATATGCATATATATGATGGAAAACTTATAAAAACTCATGAATATGCATCAATTTGATGATTAAACATGCAAAAGATAAATTAAATTCAAGTTTTAAATATTTTTGAACTTTTCTTTGTTCTATCATTTCTAATACTTCAAAATCAAGTTCTAATGCTTCCTAATCATGAATAAGTGATGCTATAGTTCATTGTACAACAATTGTTTTGCTCAAATCTTGCATAAAATTAATTCAAAACATGGTTTTTCTAGGAATTCTTCAAACACTTTTCAAGTTTCTAAACTTTTTTTTATTTTCTTTCCATTTCAATCTTCCAAAACTTATGCCTAATCAATTTTTAGCTAGGTTTTGATGTGGGATTATGGAAGAGGGTCAAGTTTCTTACCTTGTAGTGATTTTCTTAAGATTTCTAGGCTTGAATCTCTAGCTTCTTTGAATTTTCCTTCCTTTTTCTTCCTTTTCTTCTAATTTCCTTTTGCTCACCTGATTATTCTTGATTTTCCTAGCAAAATGAAGGTTTTGTTTGGTGTAGTACATAAGGTTCTATTGTATGTAGCTAGGGCAAAGTTGCAATTTCATTAATTAGCTAACCTTGCTTACTTAGCTTAATTAACCTGAGTTAGGACTAACTAATCAAACTTATTCCTAATCCCACTTAAGGTTCCCTAATCATTAATTAACACTAATTCTATTTAGCAAATTAGAAAATAGCATGAAATGGTCAAGTTTATTAGACTAAGGTCTATAAGCTCCTCACTTAAGGTTTAGGCATATCCTATGGTTTTCAAATCAAGGTCTAAACTATCCCCTAACTCAAAACACATAGC